ACTAGGGCACAGCTAAGGACACTGGGGATGTGGTTCCTCCCCTGTGGCTCCAGTCCACCAGAGTGGCTCCTAACCAGTTGGCATTGGCGTCAGCCTCCACACAAAGCGGATCTAGGACTATTTGAATCCACAGGATAATTGGCTGCAACTTGAAAATAGGCAGAATCAACAAACTCCAGCTCAAGTGGGGATTTGTCCAGATGATCTGCTTTCTATTTTACTCCACAGCACAAGTTCCAAAGCCCATGGTTTCACAAAGACCTCCTAGGGCCTTTGACGGTGTTCCCCGAGCTTATGCAAACTGGGCATCTCCATTTTCCGGCCTGGGGTGCTGACCTCCTAGGGGCTAGAAGGGTCCTTGGGGTTTCCTGGTGTTTGGATGCAGTGCGGTCCCAGTGTGGTCTCGGCCTGGCTAGCAGTGCCCAGTGAGGCCTGTAACTGGCTGCAGGAGCAGCGCTGTGCCTGCACGGGGGCTTGGTGGGGACACGTGGCCTGAGTGCCCACAGGCAGGACAGAAAATGGGATGTTTGACCTTGCTTCCCTGCCGTGTCAACGTGTGCTGGAGGCTGCTGAAGCCTCCCGGGTTCACACCTCACAGAGGAAAGGAAGCGGGAGCAGGAGAAAGAGATGGAGCAGGTTAGCAACAGGGCAGAGCCGGATGTCGGAGGACGTGGGTGGGCTGACAGCCAGCCCTGCCGCTTACTAGTTCTGTGACCTTGATCCATAGGTTCAGTGCTCCTAGGCCTAGGTTCCTCATCCATGAAACAGGATTATAGTGGATCCTACCTCACAGTCTTGGAAGGACCAAATGAGATCAAGTTTACATGAATTTTTAGTTATACCTCTAATAGGACTGTCACCTCCTGCCCTTGACCGTGCTTGGCTGTCACTCTCTTTGGTCCATCAGGTTGAGAAATGGCTGCTGCACTGCGGAAGTTAACTGAAGCATGCAGAATAGCACTTGACTGTCGGCTCGGGACTCGGGACTCTACTGCACACACCGTATTGACTCATCAGCAACCCCGCCAGAATGCATGCTCCCTGAGGACACGGCCTTCGCCTCCTGCTTCCTTGGTAGGTGGTGCATTTGGATCCTAAACTCCTTTGCAGAGATGGTGGGATGTTCTGTGTGGTCTCATTATGCCAGCTGCAGCCTGGGTGCATTCAAATCAGTAACAGCCACCCCACTCCACTCACTCCGACGTCTCACAGCAGAAAATGTCTGTTCCAGATACAGCAGGGGCAGGCACTTCAGCGTCTATCTCTGGTCAGCAATGGGCATTTGACGATTAGCAAGGTAAACATTAGAAATGCGTTCTCATTGGTGAAGACAGAGGTATTCAAGATATGTGGGTTGGCTAAATGGATTCAGAGACACTCTTGACTCAGGAAAGAGCCGGTGAAAGAATCCATGAGAGCTCCAGGGAGGTGTGGTCAGGGCAGCAGAGAGCAGATTGCTGGGCTTCCCCGAGGCCACGGGACAAACTGTACAGACTCCACTGGGCCTATGTGCAGTAAATATTTGTCCAAAAATGTGTACCTGTGCAGCAGAATTTGTTCTGAGGCTGCTTTCATTCAAACTTGATAATGAGGCTGTCTTCACCTTCCCCCAAGTTTCCTGTGGCTGCTATCAAACAAACTTAACAGCAGCAGCCGCAGGTTTTTGGTTAAAGCTGGGAGGTGCCTGTGTGACCCAAGGGACTTAGGTCAGTTCACGCCTGGCATGGAACCTCCATGGTGAAGTGCGTGGAGAGGATCACAGGACGAGGGAGGTAGTGACACTTTCAACTTGATGGTGGACAGTGGGGGCTGGGCCCCTAAGGCAAGAACCCTCATCCAGAACCTTCCTGGGTGGCCACCACCTGGTGCATGCGTAGGGTCCTTAGCTGCTCAGGGCTGCTGTGCCCACCCGGCTCGCAGAGGCTTGGCTGGCTTCCTGGAATGAGGAAATGCTGCCCAGCCTTTGGGAAGCCCTGGAACTGTCGCCAGGGTGCAGGTCACTGTCTAGGCTCTTTCCATACCTGCCACTTGACCTGGGAAATGGGCTCTGACCTGGGCCTGTCCCTCTAGGTCCCAAGGGACAAGCCCTGCAAGGGAGCACTTGGGCGTGCACTGCCAGCTTCCACCTTTCGATTGGGAGGCCCTGGAAGGAACTTCCGGCCACACTGAAGAAATGGGGGCTCAGTCTCTGCCCCCAGCGGGAAAAGGTGAACCCCTACTCCCTGCAAGTCTCTGCAAAGGCCGGTGGGGAGGAGGATCACACTGGCAGGCCCCCTAGGGACCCTTTGGAAATTCCTCAGTGAAGGGAGGGGGAGCAAGGCCACCCCTTACTAGCGATGACAACTCAGGGGGAGCTACTGTGTGCTGAGGCCACGTAGCAGGACCCTGATGTGGGAAGGAGGCTGACGCTAGACAGCTGCCGCTAGAGAAGAGAGGCCCCCTTGGTGGCTGTGCCCACAGGGAGATGGGGCTACGGCTCAGCATGGTCCTTCTCTCGAGAGTGGCTGATGGATGAGATTTGATGCTGTCTTATAGAGCTGAGCAAGCAGGCAGTGCCCAGGAGGAAAGGCGGTGATGTGGGAGCAACCTCCTCTCACTGCACTGCTCGCCTTCTCTCTCCATGCTTGTCCTTCCTCTCCAACACTTCTCAAGAGGGAAGTGGTAGGGGGTCAGGGTGGGGAAGAGCTGGCTTTTAATGGACAGGGCAAGGGACCTAACCAGGGAAAAGCTGAGGCCTGCAGCCTTCCTGACTCATCCTGGCAACAGGGCCCTCAGTGGCAGCTCAGACTCTACAAGTGATTGCAGAGCCAGTGAGGCTCACCTGCCACCCTCTTCTAAACTCGGTTCCCACCTGTCCCATCGTTCCTGCTCCCCACCTCCCCCTGCCTGCCTTGTAGCCCATCCTCAGCCCTTCAAGGTCTGTTTCAGTCTGTGCCTTTCCTTTCTGTCTCCACATGACAATCCAAGTCTCGGGGTGCATTTGTCTAGTAAGAGCCATCCAGGCTAATCCTAAGGGATTTCTAGTTAGTGGCACATGAGTGCTCACCGAACCGGGGAAACCAGGGGCAAAGTGCTCAGTTATCATTCATCTTCTGCCTTTGCAAGCAGCTCAAGTCCCTTGGGATAGCACAGCTCCCAAAGGGTTCTGGGAATTCCAGGAGCTCCTGTAGGGCCAAGGGGGTTTTCTGCGAGCAAGATTTGCCTAGAGAACGCAGGCAGCCAGGGTGTGAGAAGCCTAGCAAGTAGTTTCTTCCTCATTGGCCTGGGGCTCTGTGGCTCTCTCTCAGCAAATAGTTAGGCAAGGCCTTAATTTATTTCCCTGCCAGAGTCCCTCTTGGAGGGGGGCCAAGCTAGTAGACAGGAAGGCGGGGACTGGCAATTTAGTGGAAATCCAAGCATGTAATTGGGAGGACCAAAAGAACAGGAGCAAGTGCGCAGGGAGTCTGGGGACTCTGGGCAGGCAAGGAGGAGGACAGGGTGTGGGGGAGCAGCCGTTTCTTCTGCTTTGGATGAGAAGAATTGAGGCTGGCCAGACCCGGTGGCACAGCCTTGCAAGCTCCTGATAGAAGAAATGGCTTTCCCGGCTCCACAGGGTTCCCCGAGCTGGCAGGGGACCTTCTCAGGTCACGAGATGAGCCCCTCTGCACAGTTCTCATTTCTTCTGGGTGTCAGTGGTTTCTGCCCCTCTCTGGGCCTCAGGGGCCTCGGATTTCCTAAAGCAGACCTCCTTTGAGAGCACTGTCCCAGGAGTCAGGCATGGGGGCTGACTATCTCTGCTCCCTCAACAGGTGTGGGAGCCACTTCTGAGTCCCATTGGCAAAACACGCATAATAGGGCAATGGGGAGGATGGAGTGACCAAGGGATGGAGGGGTTTCCAAGTCGTGCACTATCCATAAATATACTCAAGACAGAAGAGCTGTCATCTTTATCCAGTCCAAGCACAGCCCATGGCTGCTTTCCAAGCTCCCTAAAAACACGCAGCAGAAGTTCCTATCCTGCCGACGCGCTCGGGCGACAGGCGCCACCGCACCTCTGCTTTCCCGACTTTGAACACACTCTCCAGTCTCCATCCTGAGCTTAGTAGGGGGCAGGACTGTGTCTACGTGTCAATGGGAAGCTGCTTTGGAGCACGTGTCCCTTGGGGAAAACCCTGTGGATGGGGACCTGGTTTCCTCTTCTGGGATTCTCCAGCAATGATGGGGGAGTTTGTGGAAGCTTGACTTGGGAGAACCTGTGCTTGCAGGGATAAGGCAGTGGCCAATTCCCAACCTATAGCCAATCCTCCTTCCAGATCTTCCCAGGAGGTGGTCCCAGTCCTCAGAATTCCTTCCAAGCCCCACCGGCAATAAAAACCAGGTAGTAAGGGGTTTGCAAAACAGCAATACATCCCACCCCTTGTGGTCTGTGGTCCTGTGTCTCGGCGACTCTGAGTGCCCAGCTTCACGGCTGACCTGCTCATTCCCGGGGGCCCGCTGGGCTGTGCCCTTCCCTCGGGTCACATTGGCTTGGGTCCTTAGAACGCCCTTGGGCCCAGGTGCCCTGGGCCACTTCTCCTGAGTTAGGGACTGAATTCGCGAGGACAGAAACTTCCATCTCACCAAGACTGAAGACAGGAGCCAGGCTGGGCTTGGAGGTCACCAGCCACCTGGGAGTGGACCCGGGGAGGCTGAGTGGGGCCCTCCCGCTCAGATGGCAGACCCCAACCCTCCACCCAGAATCCGAGCCCGGACAGGGCCAGCAGGGAACAGGGAGATGAGTCCAGCCCTGGCTGCCGGCTCCCCGGGGAGGGCAGCGAGCCCGCAAGAGCGGGAGCGCATGACCGGCCTCTTCCGGGGGCGGTGGGCGCGCGTCCCCTCCGGGGCGCCCGGGGATCGGGCTGCTCCGCGCCACTGCTCGCGCTGCGGACCCGCGACGCCCCAGCCCCTGCCCAGCCCGCGCCGCCCGCCGCGGCCACACCTCCCAGCCCCTGGGAAAGTCCCCGCCGCCGGCGCGAACCCACCTTCGGGGCGCCCAGGGGCCCTGCTGGGGACTCTGCGGGGTCCCCGCCGCCTCCTCCTGCGCGGGTCCCCGCTGCCCGGCTCCGGCCCGGCCCCAGCTCGGCGCTCCCGCCTCGCCTCCCCAGCTCCGGCGAATCCTCCGCGCCGCTGCTCTCGCTCCTTTCGGAGGGGACGTTTTTTCCCCGCGTTGCGTCAGGGCCGTTGCCTGGCGACCGCCGAGCTCTCAGCCGCGAGCCCTTCTCCGCGGTCCCGGCCTCGCTTCTCGCCCCGGGTCCGAGCGCGCCCCAGGTCCTAGCGCCCTGCCGGTTCCCCTGCCCGAGCGGCCCTCGCGAGTGGAGACGAACTGCACACGCCTTCGCCAAACCCCAAATGAAACCAAACCCAAACATCCATTTTCTCATTAAACCCGAAACCAAGGCAGTTTTCCCCCAGTCGTGGCAACGTGGCTGCGCCACTGTCAGCAGTTTGTCCACGTGGAGGAGGCAGGGGAACCCCACGCCCACGGCCTCGCCCACCCACACACGGCTGGAGTTGACAGGACCCGCGACCACAACTGCTCCCGAGCGCCCACCGTGGGCCACACCCCGCGACGACCCAGCAGGGCAGGTAGGTGTGGGCATCTCTGGCTGCCAGATGAGGAAACCGAGGCGCAGAGACCCGAGCGTTTGCCCCACTAACCACAGGGTGTCCCGCCGGGGGCGCGGCATCGGCCACCTCCGGCTGTTACTGGGTTCTAAGACCCAGTCCCTGCTCCATCAGGACCAGAGCTGCAAACCCGAAGGCACACGCAGGACAGCAGCCCGAACCGCCAGGTGGCAGGTCTTCAGGACCAGTCCCACATGCGGACGAGGGGCCCAGGCCAGACACTGGAGGCCCCAGGGCTGGTTACTGGATGGGGACCTCTTACCCCAGACCTCATCAAACACCTTTCCTAGATGCCCGGGGCTGGAAGCGTCTTTCAAAGCGCTCCCACCTGCCATTCTCACGACAGCCCTGGGCGTGCGTTCAGGCGCCGTCTACAGGAGCAGACGCGAAGCTGAGCGGTGGGGCTGCAAAGTGGCTGGGAGGGGTCCAGGCAGGCGCGCGGCTGGCCGGGCCTTCTGTGGGGCCTTAGCCCCTGCAGGTGCCCGCAACCCTCGTGCTGCCCTCTGGTGCCCGTGTCCTTTACTGCAACTCCGCATCCAGCCCTGACCTACTCCCTTTCTTTCTGACCTTCACTGGAAGGTTCTCTAAGGGACATGGTCTAAGGAGACCTCTAGCCAGCACAGACCTAATCATGCGAATGGGGCAAGGGTCCTAAGCTAACAGGTGTATTAACAGGCGTCTTTTGGGGAGTCACAGCGTTGATGCAGACCTTCTGATTCCAGCTCCTAAACATCTCTCCACTCCTTCCTCCTTCCTGCCCCCTGCCACTGTTCCTACCCAAGCCACCAGCAGCTCGCCCTACCCAGTTCTGGGACCTGCCACCCGGGTCCGAGCGCGCACGCAGTCTCCTCACTGATCTCCCTGTACCCACTCTCAGCGGCTCCCAAGCCAGTTACTCCACAACCAGCGGAAACTCTTAAGAATGGAAATCCAATCTCAGCTGCTGCTGCTTAAAGGCCTTCAACGCCCCCAGTCCCCTGGGGATTAATAGCTAGCTTGGCTACGGGGCACTGATTGGCCTCTGTCTGTCTCTAGGGCCTTTTGCATGGCCCCTGCTCCCCAGACAGATGCTCTTCCAGTCCCTCTGTGCACCTGCTCCACCCCATGGGCTGCTGCAGCTCCGCCTCCCAAGGGAACCCCAGGTTACAGGTGCTCACAGCCCCCCTACCTCTCCTTCATGGACTAGTTATAATTCCAAGTTTATTTGTGAGGTTATTTGATTAGTGTCTCTCTCCCTCCGAGTCAGTGGGCTCCGGGAGGGCAGGCAGCAGCCTCGATCCAGACTTGAGGACACAGCATCCTTCTGGGTGCTGGCTGTCCCTGACCACAGCGCCGGTGCTGAGCGCTGGGAGGCCGCGTTGCTCACTGCTGTGCCCACGGCCCTGGCACGTGGTGAATGCTCTAAGGTCTTTTTGGACGGGCCATTCAGCCCCATCTGGAAATGCTTTGTCCTACCTCCACCTCCTGGCTCTCTGTTTGGCCTGTGGCTTCTATTTCTGGGAGTGCAGATGCCTTCTCATGGGGGAAACTGTTGCATGTCTCAAATGGACAGGCAGCCTGTCCAGGGCAAGGATGGTGTCTTGCCCTGTGGCTACCGTTCTGCCTGGCATGTGCCTGTGGGCAGGAGAGTGATCAGTGATAGGACCTGGAGGGGAGTGGGCCAGAGGAAGGAGGAAGGGGAGGAGGAAGAGCAGCCTTGGTTGTAATAGCCTCAACTCTAACATCAAACCATATGGCGTGGTCAAGTAAGTGAGTCAGCACAGAATGGTATGTAGCCATAGAAATAATATTTTCGAAAACTGTTTGATCATAAAGAAAAATACTAATGATTTAATGCTAAGAAAATAAGACAGGGACACCAAATCTTGTGTACATTATGAAACTTCTCATTCGAATATCTAATTCATATGTATGCATGGAAAAGAGACTGGAAGAGTATATGCAAATATGAGCTGTGGTTACCTCCGGGCTCCAGGATAATGGAGGATTTCAATGTCTTCTGTAAGCCTGCATTTGTTTCCTACAGTGAATCGTTTTGTAATAAGGAACATCAAGAAACACTACTAAAAAGGAAAGATGGCACTGTGTTGGTCTTCCCGACGGTGCTGCCTTTTGTGTGAAGCACTCTGAGACCCATTGCTCGTTGGAGGATCTGGGTGGGCCAGAGAGAGCAGGGACACCTGGGGGCTCTGCCTTCCCCTCAGTTCCTTACAGAGCAGTTTCTTTTCAAAGTGCTGCATGATATATGACACATTGCCTCTTGTAATCCTACAGGAAGCTGTGAAATAGATGAGTCAAGAAATATGCCCAGCTAGGCATGGTAGCTCACATCTGTAATCCCAGCACTTTGGAAGGCAGAGGCAGGAGGATTGCTTGAGCCCAGGAATTTGAGACCAGCT